TACAACTGAACTACACAGCACCATCACGTGACACTGTTGAATTTATATTCATGATACAAACACCACAATAAAAGGGCATGTCCAAAATGATGAAAAAACCAGACAAATGGAGGGTATCACATGCAATCCTGAAATTGATATGGAGAATCTGAAACAGACTTGCAGGGAAAAAGTCACACAAGTCATACTACAAGCAGTAGTAGTATAGGCGTGTAGTGTAATACATATATACCTTCAGTATTTATAGAGACGGTATAACCAGCAGATGTGTCATCTTCACCTTGTATTCTACAATAGTATATAGTCTGGGGTTGTAATACACGATCCTTGTAAGAACCAGTCTTATCCTTCACAGCTTTGATTTCAGTCCAGTTAAGTTTATCTTCAGATCTCTTAATAAACCCTGATGTCGCTTTACCCAGGTCCCACTCAATAGACACACAACCAGATTTCACATCTAATTTGGTGATGACAGGTTGGCAATCTTCTCCTGAAAAAAGACAAATACAGAAAATTACAGCAAATAAGAAATAATAGTTGTTAAAATATAAACAAATAATTAAAATTATTCTTTATATACATAAACATAACTATTGATGAAATGAGCAGAATTCACCATAACATAACTGCCTTTAATTATAAATATCAATAAAAACAAAATACTAACCTGAAGATTCCCAGAAGGACCAATCAGACATGATAACTTTGCTTTTGTACATGCATCTATCTTTACTACGGTCAACACAACCATCATCCATATCCTTCCCATCAGGTGTAATCTTTAATACATCATGTTTATCACATGGACACTTCAAACATGGTGTGTATGATAGACCAGGGTTGTATCGCTTGATAAGGATATTCAGGCTGTCTTCCACATACTTTCTTACTTCTGGACCATAGGATGATTGTAATTTCACAGCTATGCTTCCTGCCGGTTCTGTCTTCACTGTAAGGGTGATGTCAGATTCTCTCTTCGACATGATGAGGATATGGTTCCTTCCAATATCAAACCAGGCGTCATTATAGAATAACTTGGCTTCTCGCCACTTCTTGATGCATCTAATAACTAGCTGGTGGAACAAGCCATCTGGTAAATATTTAAAAGCAAAGTGGAGGTATAGAGTAGGACCTGATGTACTATGTAAAGGTGACAGAAAACGATTTTCTGGTTCTGATTCAAGAAGGCATGCCATGTAGTATTCAGTGACCTTTGACCCTGATTCCGGAGGACATGGGTAAATGATATCATACAGTTGAAATAGTCGAAGTAGGATGTCTTTATCTTCTAGTCTGTTGTTCTCCTTTAGAACCCAATCTACCAATTGGACATCAAGTTTCCCGTGAGTGGTTAACTTGTCATACAGATTGCGAATGGTTTGTCGGAGAACTTCCTTCTGCTTATCAGGGAGTTCTGGTATGTGAGTAATGAAAAGTCTCAACAAGTCAATGAACCACTGTGGACTGATGATGACATCATTACGAAGGTCAGATCATCTGCAAAGTGTAGGATATCTCGAATGCTGTGGAAAAATTTCAGCACGTCATCAACTTCCTGTTTAGATAAAGACATAGATTCACCAA